CTGCCGTGGAACAAGGTAGAGAGACCTGACTCGGCCGCTGGTCCCCTCCGCTTGCGCTCGCCTTCCCGCCAGCCCATGGTGGAGGAGCTGGGGAACCAGTTTTGTAGCTGCTGGTGGCCTAGGGAGTGATGTGGAGTGGTCAGGATGGGTTTAATGGGTATGGACTTGGAGGAGTCGGCTTGGCAGTGCTGCTGACCATGGTGGGAGGACTGTGCATGGGTGCTGGCACCCAGCCTCGCTGCTCAGCACCAGCTCTCCCCTGGCAGGCCTGGGACATCACCAAGCGGACCTTCGCCTACACCAACCACACAGTGCTTCCCGAAGCCCTGGAGCGCTGGCCAGTGGACCTGGTGGAGAAACTGCTTCCCAGACACCTGCAGATCATCTATGAGATCAACCAGAGACACCTGGATGTAAGTCCCTTGGGCAGCAGAGGGACCCTCTCCATGTGTTGTGCTGTCAGGACTAAGGGCTGCACAGACCAATGATGTTGGGTGTGTGGCCAGGTGGTTCTGTCTGCTGTTTTGGGAGGTTGGTGTGCAGTTGCCATCCTGCAATTACTGGCTATTTTAAAGACTTCACGCATTGCTCCAGGGCCTTACCTGTTGGCCTTTCTTTGCTCCCTAAATGCAAAATTTCTCCTGGGAAGGGATGAGGTGGAGGGTACAAAAGAGGTGGAGGTTTGGCCTCCTGGGCTGGCAGCACAAGGCTTTTGCTGAAACAGCTCTGCTGGCCACACGTGCTCAAAACCCCATCTCTGTGACTGTGGGGGCTTGGGATGTCCTTATGTCTGGAGACATCCATGCTGGGGAAGGGCACCCTTGGGAGGGGGTCTGCACTGTCACTTCCAAGTAAAAGCCATCGCTCTGCGTCTCACCATGTCAAGTGCATTGGAGACATCGCTGTGACCCTCTCCTCAGGAGCAATCGGGTGGGAAATCCCTAAATGCCAGCACCCCTCACCGTCTCTCTGGCCTTCTCCACAGCACATTGCATTCCTCTTCCCTAACGACGTGGACCGACTTCAGAGGATGTCCCTGATTGAGGAGGGAGGTACCAAGCGGATCAACATGGCCCATCTCTGCATCGTCGGCTCCCACGCTGTCAACGGCGTGGCAAAGATCCACTCGGAAATAGTCAAGACTCAAGTGTAAGCGTGGTGGCGGGATCGCCCTTGGCTTGGTAATGGTGGTGCCAGGAGGCAAACCTGAAGTTGTCCTCTCCTCGTCCTCACAGCTTTGAGGACTTTGCAGCGCTGGAGCCGGAGAAGTTTCAGAACAAGACCAACGGCATCACCCCGCGGCGCTGGCTCCTGCTCTGCAACCCGGGGCTGGCGGAGCTCATAGCAGAGGTAATGCTGGGGAGGGGGGGCAGCGTGCTGGCCCCCAGCCCTTCCTGACCCTGGGGACACTGCTCCAATCTCAGCCCTTTACATCTTCTAAATGGTGGAGCTGTGTTTGCATCTCACCCGGGTGCTCTGCTCCTGCTTCCCAAGCGCTGCTGGCTTGGCTGCCAAGCCAGCCAGGAGCAGCACGCACAGGAAGGCGCCTGCGCGCATCCCACGGTCAGCGCGTGCCTGTGCTCCTGTTGCAGAAAATAGGGGAGGACTACGTGCGGGACCTGAGCCAGCTGACAAAGCTGCACGAGTGCGTGGACGACGACCTCTTCATCCGGGAGCTTGCCAAAGTGAAGCAGGTGAGGGGGTGGCCAGGGGCTGGAGGCAGGGAGAGCGCAGGCTGGCGCTGACATGCTCCCTGCCCTCACCCAGGAGAACAAGGTGAAGTTCGCGCTGTTCCTGGAGAAGGAGTACAAAGTGAAGATCAACCCTTCCTCCATGTTCGATGTGCATGTGAAGAGGATCCACGAGTACAAGCGGCAGCTGATGAACTGCCTGCACATCATCACTATGTACAACCGTAAGCCACCATGCACCCCAAGGGGACAGGCTCCCCTGCGGGTGCATGAGCATTCCTAGGCCCTGGGATGCAGCTAAAACAGAGGGTGACACCTTGCTGCTGTCTCCTCCAGGCATCAGGAAGGATCCTGCAAAGCTCTTTGTGCCGAGGACAGTGATCATTGGGGGCAAGGTGAGTTGGGTCAGGAGTTTTAGGCATTTTGGAGGAAGTCCTTGACAATGCCCTAGGGAAATTGGTTGCAGCTGTCCCATGTGGCTAGGTCCATGAAGCTCGCCAGGAAGGGCTGGGGCAGCCCTTGTTGGCTTCGATCCAAGCAAGGCACCGAGTTTTGGGGCGTGCACAAACATGTGCTGCTTTTGGTCAGGGAAGCCCCTGAAAGCTTGGTGGTGCAACACATGGGTTGGATGAGGTGATGGAAGAAGTCTTGAGGGGGTCCTTCTCTGGGCAGGTGGGCACTGGATGGAGCTCCCCTGGCCAGGCCTCTGGGCTCACCTGCGGCTTTTCTCTTAGGCTGCCCCAGGATATCACATGGCTAAAATGATCATCAAGCTCATTAATGCTGTGGCTCAGGTGGTGAACAACGACCCCGTTGTGGGGAGTAAGCTGAAGGTCATCTTCCTGGAGAACTACAGGGTCTCGCTGGCAGAGAAAGGTAGGCCACATGGAGCACGCTGTGGGGAGGGTACATCGGCCCCGTGGCTGTCCACCAGCCCATGGCTCCATCACTGCTAACATTCTTTGACATGATACAAACGCAAAGCTGGTCGCTGTGAGCCCCTTGTGTCCGCGTGTTCTGTTGGCAGTGATTCCTGCTACTGACCTGTCGGAGCAGATCTCCACAGCAGGCACTGAGGCGTCAGGCACAGGGAACATGAAGTTCATGCTGAATGGGGCTCTGACCATCGGCACCATGGATGGAGCCAACGTGGAAATGGCTGAGGAGGCTGGAGAGGAAAACCTGTTCATCTTCGGCATGAGGGTGGAGGATGTCACAGAGCTGGACAGGGAAGGGTGAGGGCTGGGGACACCGTGGGGGTGCTACCACAGGCAGCTATAGCAGCGTGGTCTCATATGAGCCCTTCCCTGCCAGGTACAATGCCCAGAAGTACTATGACCAGCTCCCCGAGTTGAAGGAAGCCATTGACCAGATTAAGAGTGGCTTCTTCTCCCCAGAGGAGCCTGACCTCTTCAGCGACGTGGTCAACATGCTCTTCCACCACGACAGGTGAGCCCTGGGATGCCTCCATCCCCTGGGTTGGGTTCCCCCACCAAACTCCCGGTGCCTGTGTGGAGCAGCCCCCTGCACCCTCCATCCACCCTCTGGCTGATAATGTCCAATTTTCCAGCTCTGATGATGTGCGTGTGGTCGAGCAATTGATGCTTCACTGGTACAAGAGACGGGTCCGTGTCCAGCACCTTAGCTTGGCCCATTAAAGCCTGGGGTACATTAAGGCCAAGACGCATTTGAGTGCACAGCCCTCACCAGACGATGGATGCTTTTAAGTGTCTCCAGGGCTTTCCCGGCCAGAGCATTAAGCAGCCAAGGGCCACCAGCATCTGCTCTGGAACAATGTCTCCCAGTGTGCCCTCCCAGAGCACACGTGCCACAGCACCCATGGGCTTGCAGGGCTCTGCGCAAATAGGGCTTGGGGAGGGTGAACTTGTCTGAAGTGCTCGTCTTGGAGGCAGCCCAAGATGTGGCAGCCCAAGCCCCGTGTGCTGCAGCCACCGTCCACGCCAGGCTCCCACCTCTGCTTTCCTGCTGCCACCGACTCCTTTCTTTGCTGCTACAGGTTTAAAGTTTTTGCAGACTATGAGGCTTATGTCAGGTGCCAGGAGAAGGTCAGCGAGCTGTACCTGGTGAGTGCCGGCCTGGGGACAAGGCAGGGGAGCTCTGGTGGGGGCACCACATCCCCTCCCCGGGGGTGGGTCTGTGCGTGTACATGGGTTCCTGGTGAGGAGGCTCCTGGATGTGCTGCTGCAGAGAGTCCTCCATCTTAGGGCCAGCGTAGCACCCATGGGTGCAAGCCTCCAGCCACAGTCCCACCTCTCTCTTTGCAGAACTCCAAGGCATGGACCAAGATGGTCATCAGGAACATCGCAGCAGCCGGCAAGTTCTCCAGCGACCGCACCATCAAGGAATACGCCCGGGACATCTGGCACGTGGAGCCCTCCTACCTGAAGATTCCACCGCCCAATGAGCCCCGGGACACGGCTGAGCAGAGTACACCCAACGGCACAGCAGCATAGGGGCACGGAGCTGCTGGCAGCTGGAGCTGACGGATGTGAGCACAGACGCTGTACAATGGTCTCTGTCTCTGCTGTGTGGTGTCTGTGCTGCTGCTGGCTTTCCTACGGGTGGGGAAGGGGTAATTTTTGTAACTCAAGTGTCGTGCAGAATGCCAGAACTGTTGCCCTGTTGTGTCACTGGAGTCCAAGAGCTCTTTGCTGAAGTCTAAATCAGGGACTGGGCTTGTACCAACGCTAACGCAAAAACTGGGTGTCAGGGCTGAGGTGCTGGGGCTCAGACAGTGATAGGGTGGGGAGCACCACTGGACACAGTTGTCTGAGCCCTTGCAGGTGATGCTGAAGCAGGACCTGGGGTGCAGCTCTTGTCAGTCCTGAGGCGTCAATGCTGGGGAATTAAGGGGTAGTTGCAGTAGGGCTGTGTAACACCCCCCACACACACACACTGCCCCATGTGATGCTCCTGGGCATTGTTTCTATGGTCCTGTCCCAGGAGCAGCAGCCAGATCACAACAGTATCCCCATCCCCCAAGCATTCCGAAGCATCCTTGAGGCAGTGGGCAAATTAGAACATTTTTCAGTAGTTTTTATTACTTACAACAGTAATTTCAGTGCCATAGCAGGTTCCTGGTGTGGATTTGGGTAAGTGCTTGTGGTTGCTGAATGCAGCAGCTGGCATCACTTAATGTTCAAGAAGTCTCTGTAACAAGGTGCAGTAAATCTTACACTGTTATTGCTGACCATCCTGTGCTGTTCAGAGCCTGGTTTCTAATCCCTAGATGGGGGACTGTGCTGTGCTTAAAGCAAAGTTCTGTATGCAGGGCAGAGTAGATGGGACCTCGCTGCAGTGCCACAACCCCATGATACCCAGGCTGAGGACAGGTTTGGGAAAGTGAGGAGCAACTGGAGTTCAAAAATTGATGACAGTGAGCAGTGTAAGAGAGGAAGGAGCAGAGGGAGGACACCTGCATGGCTGTGACAGGGGAGGATGCACCCCTGGAAGAAAAGGCCCAGGCTCATTCTGTACCCCCTGTTTCCTAATGCAGCACTTACTTCACCAAGGCAGGCATCTCTGGGTTGAAGGAGATGTAGTCATGGCCGAGGCCCAGCTTTTTGGGAAAGGTAATGAACTTCACCTTGGTTTTGTCCTTGTAGGCACTGTGTGCCGTCTCAAAGAGCTGACATGGGGTGGGATCTCAGTTAGTGGCATGTGGAGAGGACCCCATACCCCCGTTGCATCCCAGGGACAGCCACAACTCTCCAGCCACTTCAGCCCTCCAACCCCAGGCTCAGATGCTGCCCACCCACATTAAAGCCTGTGCACAGGGACCGGTCCCCACCTTGCGTCCCAGGAGAGGAGGCAGGATTGAATCATCTTCTGCGTGCAGGATGAGGAGCGGGCAGGACAGCACCTGCACGCTGTGAACAGCAAGCACAGTGCTGAGGAGTCACCCTGGAACTCATGGGCCCACGGGAGCCCCCCCAGCTCCTGTGAAATCTCTCACAGCAACCCTGACCCCCTGGCACTGCCATTCAGAGTCAGCCCAGCCCATCAGTAGCTACAGGTAGCTGCTGAACCGCTGCAGGGTGATGCCCATGCCACTTGTCCTGGCATGGCAGCACCAAGCACCCTAAAAGCTTAGACCTAGTTATGGGGTGCTCAGGCTTCAAAAGCTTCAAGTAAAGGCTATTGAGGTGTGTGTGCTGCACTGTGGGTGGGACTGGAGCGTGTAGTGCTCACAAAGAGGATGGTGGTTTGTGGACTTTACGCAGTGATAATACTGGTATCTGAAGCTGTGCAAATAAAAAGCCACTCGTAAAGCATGAGTAAGATGAGCAAACCTAAATCAGGCATTTCATGGTGTGACATGTCCAACCCCCCTCCCCTCGACCAGGTAGTCCCACTACCATCACCCACAGCCCCACAGGGCAGTGGTGCCCATTCCCACCAGACACTCACTTCTCATCACTGCGGAAGAACATGTCAGCCAGAGCAAGCGAGTCCAGGATGAGGTACTCGAAGCCCGGGAATTGGCGGTAGATCTGCCAGGGAGAGAGTTGGGGGGTGCTAAGCTTTGCCCTTGACTGATGCACCCTTTCCCTGCAAAGGGGGGAACACCCAGGTAGCTGGGGCTGCCTCTGAGAGCCCTTGATCTGTAACCATGGTGGGACCCTATGGACTGAAGCCTTGGGCTCACCTTGGTGAGAGGGATGTGTGCAGCTGCCTCACGGATGTTGGTGTAGGGCGATTCCAGGACAACAGCATCAACCTGGACTCCTGAGGTCAGAGTTCAGTGAGAGCAGGCATGGCTGCAGGGGAATTTCTCTCCCCAGGCATCAGCCATGAGACCAAAATGCCCCCTTCCCTCTAAGAAGCATGGGAATGGTCACTTGTCCCTGCTCCAGGAGCTGACCCTGATGCTTTAGCAGACAGTGACAGGGATCCCTTAGCTCCTTAGCGGCCCCCGAATTGTCGCATACCAGGGATGTGCAGAGCCCAGAGGAAAACTGCACAGGGCCAACCCAGCCTCAGTGGTCCTTACCTCGCTCCTCCTGCAGTTTCCTTGCTGCATTTGTGGCAATCCTGTGAAAATAGAGGTGACAGTGACGGGGAGCAGCGATGATGCCCCAGCAGGATGCACAGCACCCTTAACACCCGCTGGGTTTTGCCTTGCTTCCACCAAGGAGCTGCTCTAACCCCTTGTTCATCCCCCAGGTGGCATTGATCTGGCAGCAGTGTCACAGCTCAGGGACTGTCTGCAGACTCCAGTGAGGCAGCACCCATGGGGCGAATGCCCCATCTATTGTCCAGCCCCACACGTACCCTGTCCCCAGGGAGTGTCCCCAGAAGAGGATGATGCTGTTCCCACTCCGTGCTTTGGCCCAGTCATAGAGTGCCAGGACATCTGTGGTGAAGCCGTTCTCCGTAGGGAGCCCGCTGGAGTCCCCATAGCCTGCAGGGGACATGGCTAGGTGTAACAACGCTGGTGAGGCTGGCCTCAGGAGGGTCACTCAGCAAGAGGCAGAGGGATGACTTTACCTCTGTAGTCAAGAGCCAGGATGTGGAAGCCAGCAGCACCCATTGTCTGTTGGAGGAGCAGCACTGTGTTATGCCTGGGTGGAGGTTGCACCGTAGGACCCCCAGCACGGTGCGGTTCACTCTGGCCAGGGTCTCTCTTGAGTCCCTGGGGCCAGTGTGAGCCTTACTCCCAGCACGTGCCAGTCCCCTCACAGGGAATCACTTACCTTCAAGAACTGGATGCGATGCCTTGCAGCTCTGATGGGGAAAATGAGGTTAGAGCTCAGGCAGGGACCCTCAAAGAACCTTCCCCTCCAGCACCAAGGGACCGGCGTGACCTCCTCCCAGGAGGGCAGACCTGGATGCTCTGGGCTGAGTGGGATTTGGCGTTTCCCTTGAACTCCAAGGGACTATCCTTGACATGTGGGGTCAGACACCGCTGCAGCAGCCCTGGCCAGGCAGCGCTGCTGGCTGCTGCACGGAGTTTGCTAGTTCTCACCCCAACAGAGATGCTGTGTGGGAGCAGCCTCCTCTCCTGGCAGAGGCAGGGGCGCTCACAGGTACTCACCTGGTCCCCCCATTGCCGTGCAGGTAGATGATCACGGGGTGATCATCGCCAAGTGCTTCCTCGTACCACTTCTGGTCCTTGCCCCGTGCCTCAGCACCTCTGCTGTCTGGCACCGTGTGCCTGGGGGGAGCAGAGCGGGGTTACCCTGGGGAGCTGCAGGACACTCCGGGCACAGAGTCACCCATCTGTGCCCACCCAGGATGCTGGGGCTGCCCCACTCACCAGATGCCAACCATCACACCCGGCTCGGTTGTGAGGTACAGGTTGATGGTGTTGTTCAGCAGCAGCTCCGGCTGACGAAAGTCAACAAAGAAAGGAAAGGCCACTGAGGAAAAAATCACAGCCATCACTTGGGCAACCCAGGAATCATCACACCCAGCTGCTTTAATGTGTTTGTTCCAAAGCAGAATGTTATTGGTTTTAAATTATTAGCCTGGAACCCCAGGGCCACTCTCAGCCCAGCTCAAGAGTGGGGAAGTGAGCACAGCCCTCGGCCACCTCCTCCCACACAGATTTCTAACCCCACTGGCACTGTGCGTGCCCACGTGTTGCAACTTCAGGCAGTAAACAGGGTGGACAGCACCATGTTATTACAGGTTACAAAACACGAGGCACCAACAGAAATTCCTCCCATACCTCCTCTGCAAGCCCATGGCAAGGGGGCATCAATGGGTGCTGTACCAGTGCCACCCATGCACTGATGCACCCCACCCACATTTCAGGGACCCCCCAACTCTCTTCCTGATGAATCCCGAGCGGGGTGGTTCTCCCAGCCTGGGGCACTCACGGAAGTTCAGGTAGACAAATTTGGTGAGCAGGACAGGGAAGAGGCGGATGAGGATGGGCACAGAGATGTAGATGAGGAGCGGGACCAGGACGATGGTGCGCAGCTGGGGACACCAGCGCAGCCAGCCCCTGCAAAGAAGGCATCTTGTTAGCTTATCCCTTCCCAACCCACAGGCTTTGGGGCACAGCAGAGTGGGGCTTCTGATCCCAACCCCAGTTGTGAAGGCAGGGGCTTGTCCCCTGTAAGGGCCTGAGGTGGCTGTTTGCGTTCCTCTGCCATGGGGAGCTGGTTACCCACATCAGCGTTGTGTTTGGCTTTTGGGCATGGAGCTGAGCTGTCGGAGCAGCCCTACTGTGACACAGCATCATGAGAGGCCATGATCCAGCCCCCTATAGCCTCCCAGAGGAAGAAGGGCAGGGCAAGCACCAGGGCCAGGAGCTGCAAGCCAAACTGGCAATGAGAAGCAGCCCATACTCTGTGGCAACACCCTGAGCTGTGACTGCTGACCCATGGTCACAGAGGTGTCCCCAAGCCCAGCACCAACATCCTCTGTGATTCTCCAGGGACAAGGGGGAAATCTGGGGAAGTGGCTTGGGAAACCCACAGCCTGTGGGAGGAACCAATCCCCAGAGCGATGTCCTGCAGTGCCACCAGTACAGGGGAGGGAGTGTGACCACCTCTGACAGCATCATGCTCCCAAGGGCTAGGGCTCACATCCAGCTGCCCCAGCTATGCCCTCTGCAGCAAGCCATTGACCAGCTGAAGCTCCAGCATCCGAGAGGGAGGGGAAAGCCAAGAGCTGCAGCTTGTCCAGCATCAACATCTCTCATGAGCTGATGGTGCTGGGTTATGGGGAAACCAGTTCGGGTGCAGTGCTGGGGGATTAAGAGCAGAGGTTTCTGACAGGCGTCCAAGCACAGCTCACTCCCTGCCAGCGTGTGCCTGGCATCACCATCACTCCTGCTGAAGAGGACTGAGTCCAGTGCCTGCCCTGGCAAGTGCTGCAAGATGCCAAGAAAGGGTTGCAAAAGGGGTGCCAGGGCAGGGTGCCATAGTTCCCTGGGCACCAGCACCCCTCCAAGAAGCCTGACATACAGGATGGCATGAGCAATGATGGAGCCATGGGGAGCTCCTCAAGCCCCAGTCACACCCTGAGACTTCAGACTGAGCAGTCTCACCAGCAGCAACCGGCCAGAGGTGCCCTCACAGTCACTGCAGTGAATGAGGCACTACTCTTGGTCTACACCCAATATTCAAGTGCAGGGGCGAGCGCTCACACCCGTCCTTGCACAATACTTGCTGCAGGTGAGCACTGACGCATCCAGTCCAGGGGGATGTGCCCACTGAGGGGCATCTCTGACACCTGCAATGGCAACAGGCTAAAGAATGGCTTCATGGGGATAGCAAGGTGACACGGGGACACAGCCACAGCATGGCATCATGAGGGTTGGGGCGCAACCATGGTATGGGGGATCACGCCCATGGCAGGACCCACATAGAGCCACAGCCACCACGGCTGGTGCAGGGTGGCACGGCCATGCCAGGGGGATAGGCACAGGATCACGGCCTCAGCCAAGTGACAAGGTCACGCCGTGGTGACACAGGAGCATGGCCACAGCACAAGGGACAAACCCACGGCACAAGGGCACAGCGGTGGCACACGGCCACAGGAGACGCGGCGGGGAACACGGCCGGGGCTCAGAGCGTGGCCACGACCGGGGACAGCGGGACCCGGCGGACACGGTCCCTGCGAGCGCAGCGGCGGCGCTCGGCAGCGCCCCTACGCCGGCACGGCAGCCCAGGCCGCCGGCACCGCGGCGGGTACTCACCGCCGCTCCTCCCGGGCCCCGCTCTCCTCCCGGGCCCCGCGCTCCGCCTGGGCTCTGCTGTCTGCCCTGGCCCTGCTCTCCGCCCGGGAACTGAACTCCTCCCAGGCCCTGTCGCCGTCAGTGCGGCCGCCATCGCCCCACTCGCGCCGCCGCCGCGACATCGCCGCCGCTTCCGCCGCCTACACGCGCCACGGCCCGTTTCCATTCAGGCCCCGCCTCAACCACAGCCACCCCGGGGCGGGGCCGAGGCTGCCCCAAGGCTGCCGCCGCGGGCCGGGGGGCGCTGCAGGGACCGCTCAGCCCGGGGCCGCGCGGGGGAGGTGAAGCGCGGGGCGCGCGGGCCTTGCCGAGGGAAGGATCCCGGATAAAAACCCCAAATAATAACAAAAATACAGGGTTGAAACCAACGCGGGTGTCCCCGCTCCTTCTGGAAGGGGAGAAACCTGCTGCTGGTTCCTTTCCCCGTGCGTGTCCCCTGTGTCCTGCTGTGTTCCCTGTGCCATAGGTCTGTCTCTGTGCCGCAGCCTTGCCGAGCTACTGAAGCCATCACCATATGCTGTGGCCATGCTCCTGTGTCCCCTTAGCGTGGCCTTGTCACTTGCTGAGGTCAGGATGCCATACTGTGGCTCCGGCTCCATGGCACCCTGCCATGGGCATGATCCCCCATACCATGGTTGTGCCCCGACCCTCATGATGCCATGCTGTGGCTGTGTCCCCATGCCACCTTGCTATCCCCATGAAGCCGTTCCTTGGCCTGTTGCCATCCCAGGTGTCAGAGATACCCCTTGGTGGGCACATCCCCCTGGACTGTACGCATCAGTGCTCAACTGCAGCAGGTATTGTGGAGCGCTTGCCCCTGTGCTTGAATGTTGGCTGTAGACCAAGAGCAGTGCTTCCTTCATTGCATGGGTGGCACTGGTAGAGCACCCATCTGATGGCCCCTGCTGTAGGCTTGCAGAGGAGGCATTGAGGTACCTTTTCCATTGGTGCTTTGCGTTGCGCAAGCTGTTGCAACACGTGGGCACGCACAGTGCCAGTGGGGTTAGAAATCTGTGTGGGAGGAGGTGGCCGAGGGCTGTGCTCACTTCCCCACTCTTGAGCTGGGCTGAGAGTGGCCCTGGGGTTCCAGGCTAATAATTTAAAACCAATAACATCTGCTTTGGAACAAACACATTAAAGCAGCTGGGTGTGATGATTCCTGGGTTGCCCAAGTGATGGCTGTGATTTTTTCCTCAGTGGCCTTTCCTTTCTTTGTTGACTTTCGTCAGCCAGAGCTGCTGCTGAACAACACCATCAACCTGTACCTCACAACCGAGCCGGGTGTGATGGTTGGCATCTGGTGAGTGGGGCAGCCCCAGCATCCTGGGTGGGCACAGATGGGTGACTCTGTGCCCAGTGTCCTGCAGCTCCCCAGGGTAACCCCGCTCTGCTCCCCCCAGGCACACGGTGCCAGACAGCAGAGGTGCTGAGGCACGGGGCAAGGACCAGGAGTGGTACGAGGAAGCACTTGGCAATGATCACCCCGTGATCATCTACCTGCATGGCAATGGGGGGACCAGGTGAGTACCTGTGAGCGCCCCTGCCTCTGCCAGGAGAGGAGGCTGCTCCCACACAGCATCTCTGCTGGGGTGAGAACTAGCAAACTCCGTGCAGCAGCCAGCAGTGCTCTGTGGGGCTGTGAGGATGGTGGTGGAACCACCTGGTTGAGGAGAGGTGGGTTGGACATGTCACACCATGAAATCCCTATATTCTGATTTATGTTTGCCCATCTTACTCATGCTTTAAGAATGGCTTTTTATGTGCATAGCTTAACCAACCATCTTGGTACAGAGCTAAGCCTATGTCTGCACACCATTCCAGGGCCCAAGGCCCGTGTTTGGGGATTGGTCGCTTACTTGGTATCACCATCCTACCACATCATTTCCCCTGTGCTCCCTGTGATGACTGCAAGAGCCAAAACCCCCAGTACTGTCGTGTTGGCCACTAGCTTTATTCACGCAAACACAAGGGCAGTGTATTTCCTCAGCAGGCAGAACTAATTCAAAGGCTCCAGCCTGGAAATAAAACAAGGATATATTCTTTTCAAGCATGACTTTGCTAAAACCCTTTCATTGCCTCCCATGTGGCTATGGGATTCCCTAACCTCGAACAGGCAAACTGCTCTGCCTTTCCCCAGCCTCGCTGTGGGCAATGCTGAATTCATGCTGAGTTTCTTGTGCATTTCATCGAGCCTGGTCTCAGTGACACCCTGCAGCAGCAGTGGCAATGTCCCTCAGTGACGCCCCCTCCCTGACGCCCAGCTAGTGCCTAGGTGGGGGCACGGGTTACTTGCTGCTGCTTCCACCCAAACAGCAGAGAATTTTGCTCCTGCTGTGAATCCTTGTGCTCACTTGCACCTGCTGCTCCCCCTTCACAGACCTTCTGTGGCCAGCACAGATGGTGCTTTGCAGCCTGCGGTGGTTTCTTAGCAGACTTTGGGAGAATCCTGTACAAGGAGGAGGGCCTGAACCCCAGCCTCCAGCATCCCTGCACTTTAACCCCACTTCTTCAAGGGCCAAACAATCAGGCCCGCAAAACTCTCCAGCAGAAGACAGAGCTGCCAAATAGCCAGAGACAGAACAAGCCAGAGGCTTGCTTCCGAAAACATGGGGACACCAGATGAAGTTATTGGATACCACTGTAGCTGCAGTGACCTCCTGTGTCTCCAGCACTGCTGTGGGATCAAGCCTGGTTTAGCTCAGCCCCCTGGAAGTGGGCATACCTAGGATGATTCCTGGCAACATGATGAAGGCCAGCTTTGCACGCAGGGACACTCATTGTGGATCAGTTTATGTGTGGCAACTTGCTGGGCTGCCCCCAGTTGTTGGCCTAAGCAAATGTAAGAGGTATGCAATGTCCTGGGCTGCTCCTTGCTGGCAGTTCCTTGTCCTGGGCTGCTCCTTGCTGGCAGTTCCTTGCTGTGAGGATGTGTTGAAGATGCTCTGTCCTTGCTTTGATGCAGGATATAGTTCTCACTTTGATTTTCAGAGAGAAGAAATGCAAGCATCTAGTAATAGCCCCTTGATATTCTCTAATTAATTCCTGTTTTGCTTCATTAACACTCAACAACAAATCACGTTAGCTTTGCATTGGGAAAACCTAACACAAACTTCCCTCTGAAATCACAAACAGAACTGCCAGCTCTGTTACAGGGATGCCAAGAAAAACACAAGCTAAGCAAGGGTCTCTTGCGTGCCCACAGGTACACAGAGGGGCAAACAAGGTAATGGTGAGAAACTATTTGGGAAAGGCCAGATACCGAGGACTGATCTGCACAGATCTGAAGAGTGAGCTGATGCTGAGCTCCACTCTCTCTCTGTTTCAGGAGAGCCACTTTGGACTCACCCTCTCCTGGTTCTGCTTCAGCTGCACTGCATTAGTCAGCGTGCTGCTGGAGGGCATCTTCCAGGCTGTGTCCCTGGGAGAAGTCCAGGTCCTGCTGCAGCTCTGCACACAGGCATCCTCAGGCCAGGAGTACTGCACATACATGGTGCAGCTGCGCTGCAGGCTGCTGGTCTGAGCTGAGCAGTTTCCACATCCTGCTCTGCGCGGCAGTCTCCCTTGGAGTCTTGCAGTCGAGATGATACTGATGGAGTCTGGCTGCTGCTGGGATCTGAACCCTGGCAAGAAGGCCTTGAACTTTGCTGGTGGCTGGTTCATGCACACGAGGGTACAATAAATTCCTCCCCATTGTCCCTCATGGGGCAGTCCAGGGCACTCAAAGTAGCAGGAAACTCAGCCCCAGCTCTAAAGCCTGTGGCTCGCTGAGATCCAAATGGGATCTTCAGGACACATCCTCTCTGGTGCACTCGGAGGCAACCTAGGGATAGAAGTTAGCACAGTGCTATCTTCATGCATCTGCGCAGCCTCTGACTTCCACAGCAGTGAGAGCTCTGTGAAGGATATGACCAACGTCACCAGCAGAGATAAAGATGCCATTGTCATCATAAATTAGCAAAACATTTAAAAAAAACCAAACCCCCCAAATAAACAAACAAGCGCTATGAAATCATCAGCAAAAATGAACAAAGTGGGCATGTAGGAAAAGACGCCGTAGGAAAATCCAGCCGGAAACCTCCCCCTCTCACAGCTGGTGCGGGGAGAAGTTTGGAAGGAAACAAGCCCAAACTTTGCTGGTTTTGCATAGAACAATGGCGAGCCGTGCGGTGTCGCGCCCCCTCGGCTGCGGCTCATTGCTGCCATCGCATGTCCAGCCCCCGCTGTACAAGCCGCATTTCCCTCACCACGCTCGGGACTGAGCCAGCGCAGCCTCTCGCTTGGAGGAGTTTCCCTCCAGCCCGGGAGATCCTCATGTTTGACACGTTCGCTGTGCTGGTTCCTTATGGCACGAAGTGTTTGCGCCATCCCGGTGCACGCACGGCATCTGCCATAATCCTGTGCTGATCCCCTTCAGCTCTTGCAGCCCAATAAAGCCTGGCAACCTGCCCCTCCCCATTGACAGCAAAGCGAGGTGTTGCGACCATCTCTCCTGTCCTCTTCACGGCAATGCACTGCTGCTGCCCCAGTTGCAGCCCCTGCACCCACCAGGGATGGGGGGAAGCCGGGGGGAAGCCGGGGGGGGGGGGGGGGGGGGAACAAAAAGCTGTCATGAATCAAACCAGCCGGATGTGCTGATTGCTTTCGCTTGTCTTCCTGCTCCCTCGGCATGGGCAGAGCGGCTTGCGGCTGGCCCGGGCCACGTCACTGCACCGTGTGCTGATGAGGAACCCGCTCCCACCCGCCCACAGCCCTGGTTTGACGGGACCTGCCTGGATCTGCATTCGGGGTTGGCACAGGCTGCATCCGCTTCAACCTGAGTCACAGAGCTGCACATAAGCACCCTGCTGAGCAACACCTCAACTGTCCACCAAGGGTGCCGGGTGCTGGAGGGTGCAGCGCCACGTGCCCAGCGCCTGCCTTGTCTCAGCAGCCTGTCCCACCATCGTGTCCTGTCTTGCCTGGCCCTGGAGCTCGGCTGTAATGGCAGGAGCAGCCCGGTGTGCGCTGGTCGTGCTCGGGAGGGCAGGTGGAATAAGAGCAGCTCGAAATGCTGGCACGGGCTGGCTGCTCCTCCAGGAAAGGGTTTGCTCCCAGCCCTCCCGAGGTGTATTGACTAAAGCCCTCTCTGCTGTGGGCCATGCTGGCTGGTTCAGTGACACGGGCAATGGCCCAGTCGTGCGTTCCAGCGTCCAGGCAGCGCGTCCTCCTGCGCCGGTCCGAGTTTCAAGGGAATACCGGTGAAACGGGGATATTCCTTTCCGGGTGGGAAGTTTCAGCTCCAGCCGACTCGGCCTGACAGAGCGGGAGTCGCAGCTGAGAGGGGAACCAGCAGCAGGTTTCTCCCCTTCCAGAAGGAGCGGGGACACCCGCGTTGGTTTCAACCCTGTATTTTTGTTATTATTTGGGGTTTTTTATCCGGGATCCTTCCCTCGGCAAGGCCCGCGCGGCCCCGGGCTGAGCGGTCCCTGCAGCGCCCCCCGGCCCGCGGCGGCAGCGTTGGGGCAGCCTCGGCCCCGCCCCGGGGTGGCTGTGGTTGAGGCGGGGCCTGAATGGAACCGGGCCGTGGCGCTGGCGGCGGCGTGAGTGCGGCTGTGGCCATGGCGGCTGCGTTGGCGGCGAGGGCGACAGGGCCTGGGGGAAGTTCCGTTCCTAATTCAGCTTTGCAATATTAAGGCTTTGCAATATTGGGGCTGGGGCTAAATCACTAAGGAAACGAAACAAAGGGTTTGAGGTACCATAACTTAGCGAGGCACACTCTGCGGTTAAAGACTATCAGTTATGGACAAAGGGTTACAAAGACTACTATCTTTGTACAGCCTATGAAACTAAGCTGTTGCAGGCTGGTTAAACAGTAAGTTGGGGTTCAACATCTGCCAGAGATTTATGAAATCTAACCATAAAAGAAGATAGATAATTAAGAAGAAGGGGCATACGAAGCGGAGTAACGGGAGATGCAAACAGAGGAGGGAGGAGTTGGCATGTAGATTATACGCGCTGGATAGGCCGTAAACCGTGGAGTATCCAACCAGTGGGAAAACAAGGGAGGGGGCTTGTGGGCGAGAGAGGAAATACAAATCAAAGGTGTGCTGTGCTGTGCGTGCCTACGTGCCGGGAAACCCGGTTTGCAAAAACGGTCATAAAAAATAGCTGCTGCTTCCCTGGCGTGTCTGCCCTGAGCCTTTACACGGGAAGTTTGTATCTCACATGTGGGGGCTACTCAGGGATCAAGTCATTGTTGAGGGGACCTCCGCCGCTGAAGGATGGGGAGACGTGTCCTGTTGATTTCAACGACCTCGTGCGGCTCGACAGGGGTTCCGCAGCTGACTAAAATCCTGAGACCATTGTTGTAGGTTAGACCCGGCAAACCAGAGGGGGAAAAGAGACAGAGGAAAAAGTAGGCACCACTGCAGCAACCAGGCAACTCCGTCCATGGGCCAAGGTAAGAAATTGGACTTGAAGCATTACCTTGGCGGTTGGGACAATCTGAGAGACTTGAGCATGTGTCTGAGATGTACAAATAAGTACAAAGAGAGTGTGGAGTCCGGATCCACATTTCTGTTATTCCATGAGAGATATAGCCAGAGAAGGACAAAGTGTAAGGACTTGTTGAAAGGA